ATTCTGCGGCCGCCTAATTCTCTGGAAATACATAGGATGTGGTTATTTCCATCACAGGTTCAGAGTCTGGAAGGCTAAAATTAATGTCACCTCATGTTCTTATGTGCTCGCTATTTTTAACATTAGTTTTCAGGAACGCAGTTTTCCTGGATGTAATCGAAAGAAATCAGCGCACCGAGTGAGTGAGTGAGTGAGTGAGTACACATACACACGCCATGGGGTTTAACGTTTCAAGTGTGAGTAATGTGCTGCTAATTCAGTCCTGTCACAGACCGTCAACTTCACGTGGGTGATAACCAAGGTGACGAAGGCATTAGACGTTTATCACTTAGATGAATTCCAAATTAGAAATCAGATTATTTTTTGTATTTTACCAGGATTTCATTTCAGATGAATTATGTTTCTTGTAGACACAGACAGATTTGGACTGTTGGAGGCCCCGTTGCCCAGAGCACAATCTTACACACACTGCCAGTGCTGTGGTAAAGAAATTTAAAATGTACATTAATTAATCATGAATTCTTTGAAGTCATTACTTTAATCATGACATTTTCAATAGAATCGCCTCTTGAATGACATTGATGGATATCGCTGGGAGTGTGTCATAAATGGACACCAAGTTACAAGTCTACATGATACTGCCCTGATGGAAGTCTACGGTACCATGTCTACACCATGAATGTACATCAGTTGTGGAATTTCCGTGAATACCATTAAATTTCTATTAATCTAAATGGCTAAACCTTCCAAAGCTTTTCTATTTCTTGTTGACATCAAATCCATCAGCTTCTGTCTTGATGAACAACGATGATAGTTCAGTGAACTACGGTTATAACGAACTCAAAGGGACCACAAATTTTAGTTCGTATTAACCGTAGTTCGTTATAAGCATATATATATATATATATATATATATATATATATATATATTTATATATATATATATATATATATACACACATCACATATGCAACAAATTTCCAGGACTAAAAAATAAGTTCGTTATATCGGTCAGTTCGTTATAAGCGTGTTCGTTATAAACGTAGTTTACTGTATATCGGTAACAACAGGTGTCTGCTTCACCTGTAGTAGGGACACACTAGCAGAAAATGGCATTCATCTTCCATCTCCACCAAGTTACATTCATCACAAATTAGGTATCTTGAATCATTCACTGTTTTACAATAGCATTGCATTTGTATTTTCAAACCATGTGATAAACGCCGAAATTTAGCAAGTATTCTGTAAAAATCTTTATCAAATTTGATGTTATATATAATTCAGGATCGAGTAATGTTTTCTACGATCCATAACATCTAAGAAATACAGCAGTATTTATCTTTTGAAACCAAGTTTGAATTTGAATATCAATGCATCTGCTACGTAACATAAGATTTCTACCCAAGTTCCTGGGATATCCCACCTTCCCGGGGCAAGAGAGTTAACTGACTTTAAAAGTCAAGTGTCAACTTTTATAGTCAGTTCACACTCTTGCCTCGGGAAGATGGCGATATCAAGACGTATGAAGGTGAAATTTGGTTTAACGTCGCGTCCAAGATTATTGCACTTATATAGCGACGTGCATGCACGTGTGTGTCTGTGGCTGCTTGTACTAGTCCGGACTGATGCCGATTTATAGTGCTAGCTCACTGAGATACCATGCCGCAGTTTAACATGAATACCCCACTCAGACACAGTATACTGACTCCGATCCGACCAGTCCTTGTTTTAGCCCCTTAATGTCGAGCGCCAGACAGGGTAACAACAAGTACCATCTTTTAACGTCTTTTGGTGTGACGCGGCCGGGGATCGAACCCCGGACCTTCCGCTCTCCGGGCGGACGCTCTACCACAAGACCACGGCCCAGACGTATGAGATTCCTGTTTGGAATAATACCATTTTAAAATATGACGCCCAGTTTACTCCTCCATTAACCACATGTAACCTTGGATGTTAATAAATAACACTGGTCGTTGTATATGTGAAGAGGATTTATTGACGGTCAGAACAAACGCCCCTGAAGGTGAAACTGGGACGCGAACCGAGTTCACCAAACACGAACTGAAGGGACTGTGATGCCTGCGTTTATATACAAAGACAAACATACTCACTTAGGAAAAACTGGTAACCTTAGCAAACACGAATTATGTTACGCACATCGTACCTATGAACGCTTTATATTATACATAAATAATAGTTATAAGCAAACACATTCATCATATATACATACGCACTCGCTCACTCATTCTCAAATGAAACATTTAGGAAAGGTGAAGATATAAAGTGTTGGATTTCAGTCGGAACAAACTGACCTAGTTAAAACATTTAAGTGGATGCAATTATATGATTCTATGTTATGGCTTATCTAAATACATTTTAAGACTTTTTATCATCCAAAACTGGCTCCCACAGGAGATCTCGCTTTCTTACACACCTGTGGGTGAGAAACCCATTTGAGATAACTGGTATCAAACATATGTGTGAGATCAAATTCCAGGCTAGTGATTGTTTAATCCATGGTGATGACCTGAGGTCAGATTATGACGGACTACTTTCCAGATCATAAGTCATTGATAAGTTGCTCGTGCTTCAGTCGAATGTCCACCTACGTCTGTGTTGAACGTAATGGTTTTAGAGTGTTAATATATATATATATATATATATTCCCGTGCTATGTTACATTCGCTAATCACAAGAACCGTAAAACATTCTCATGAACTTATCAAAGACAGCTTTATCTAAAAATCAAGCCATCATCTGAGTATATTACAATGTCTGTTGACACCACAACTCTCGTTATAGCGGGAGTAATTCGCGATAAAAATACCATTACTAACCTGTTAGGACGATCTCAAGAGATGAAACTTTGACACAAAGCACATGTTGTTTGTTGTCGACATGGTCAAGGTGTAGTGGCTGGTGTGTTGGTTAAATGGACCCGTGAAGATCCGGGGTAGAATAGGCCTTCAGCAACCCATGCACGCTTGCCGTAAAAGGCGACTATGCTTGTCGTAAGAGGCGACTAACGGGATCGGGTGGTCAGGCTCGCTGACTTGGTTTATGCATGTCATCGATCCAATGGATGTCCGTGGATCGATGCTCATGATATCAATCACTGGATTGTCTGGTCCAGACGATCCCGTTAGTCGCCTCTTAGGACAAGCATAGTCGCCTTTTACGGCAAGCATGGGTTGCTGAAGACCTATTCTACCCGGATCTTCACGGTATACCAGCTGTTAGGGGAGATAGTGTTGTCACTTTCATTTTTACTGAGTAATGACTTAATTATTTTTTTCAGTACGATAGTGAAAGCACTGGAACAAGGAGCTTGGTTATAAAAACATGGCCATGAATTTGCTGACCATTTTATACCATGGGAGTGGGGGCTGTTTGCGGGGTTGGGATTTGTTTTGAGAAAAATATTTTTATCTCAAAAATACTGACCAAAATATTTTGTCTTCAGGTTTTTATAAATAGTTGTGTCTTCACGAGCTGACGAAAAAATATCCAGAAATCAGGGTGTTTTCATATTATATACTCAATAAGAAATGTATGTAAATATCATGATCAGTGACGGCCATTACTATGCCGCATTAACAGAAATATTTACCAAGAGGAAATGTTGGTATTATTCACTGTTTAACAATTTCTGTATTAGTAATTTTACAGCGTCGTTTCAATAACAATTCTGCGGCCGCCTAATTCTCTGGAAATACATAGGATGTGGTTATTTCCATCACAGGTTCAGAGTCTGGAAGGCTAAAATTAATGTCACCTCATGTTCTTATGTGGTCGCTATTATTAACATTAGTTTTCAGGAACGCAGTTTGCCTGTATGTAATCGAAATAAATCAGCGCACCGAGAGAATGAGTGAGTGAGTGAGTGAGTGAGTGAGTTGGGTTTAACGCCGCTTTTAACAGTATTCCAGTTATATCACGGCGAGGAAAGCCCGAAGTGATGCAGGTCTCAGACGTTTACCACTTCGGTGGAACCCACGAGCACGGGTATGGTGCTGACAAACCTAGAAACATAATTGGGGCAAACCGGGATTCGAACCCACAATCATAGGTTTCTGGCTTGCCCAAGGGACGCAACTCTGAACAGCGAATCGCGGCGCCTCAGACGTCTTGGCCACCCGTGCCCCCGCGCTCCGAGAGAGCCAAAATTAGTACATTGTATATTATAGTTTGGAAGGTAATTTAAGGTACCAACGTTTTCTACAATATCTGAAAAACTATCGGACCTACTCCAGTCAAAGTAGATATGAGATTATTAAACAGTCATACATAACTGGATATTACATTTACAGACAATCGGTTCATGAATAAAAAATCTGTCTATTTAGCTATCACTATATTTCATCAACAACCAGACCTGTTCGTCACGGGTGGAACGAGCATTCATTGAAACAGCCATCTGCATAATGCTACCCCTGCGTCACAGGGCCATATGACACAGTTGAACCAATCAACTCAACTCGAAAGGGTGCACGGGATTCACGCACGCACGAATACGGGGTTAGCGTTGGGTGTCTCAACGTGCGTGATCCCGTGATACAATACATTAATAAACTGAAAATGAAACAGCTGCGATTATCATAAGCACTGCATGTTTTAAAAAGAACAGGACACGTGTACCCTTAAACCAATTGCGAGATGTGTGTTACCGCATTCGTTTTTTTATCTCAAATCCAGCGAAAAATGTTTGAATACTTGAGAACGCCGTGTAGGTTTCACAACGATCCATATATGTGTTAGACAATAGAATATGCTTAAATAATAATACAAAATGTTTAATTAAATAGCTGAAATAACTGTACAACATGATTCACTACGCTTTGACATCAGCAAATTAATTCAGTTTGTTCTTAGGTGTTTCGAAACCTTTCATATAGATAATGGCATTTACTTGTGGTAAACACGTGACGCGAGCCGGACCTGACCAGGGAATGCCCCTCGTACAGGGTTCTTGGAAAGGTTGGGTCACATCCTGCCCGCGTAGTCCGGTCTACGAATCCGGAACCACGTGATGTACCGTGTATATAAACCGGAGCGAGCCGGGTCGGCCCAACCACACTTATCTCATCACCTGGCTTATCATCTACACACTTGGAAAATTACAGGTTTGCTAAAACTTATACATCGTCTTTTTCTTGTGCACGCATCAAGCCTCATCGCGTTTATTTCTATTCATAATATTATTTTGAGGACCACAGGATTAGCGCTTAAATATATTAACGAATTGGACGTAAGTTGCGCGGCAAAGTGAAGAAACGATTGAAACGAATATTTGTAAAAATAATTTATATTTATTAGGGTTCATTAAAAAGGTTTTCCGAATTTAACTTAAATGTAAAGCTGCCAGTAACCGTCTGGAGATCTGTTTCACAAAAATCTCCATACATCGCGACTATTACTATAAATGTGGTTAGATACTACGTACCAAATATCAACATTGGTCACAAATATATGCTTTTATAAGGATTTTCTTTTTTGATGAGAAGTGAATAGGTTGGGATAGAATATAAATTGAAATGACTCCATATTCCAATACATTTGAATAGAAACGGGTGTTTAAGTTTTCAGAAAATAGACTTAAAACGAATTTAGAAATTTTGATGTATTAATTTCATATGTTTAAATATTCAAAAGTGTCAATGAAACATGAAATACAGAAATGAAAGTACCAGACCTACTTTGTCTCCAAAACAATGCGACCGTATATACTGTTTGAATTCATAGCAGTAATAACAAAACGTAAGGTAATGCGTTGACACAAGCTTGGTGTTGTAAAACATCACGCCTCGGATGTTATAAGAATCACTGTGTGAATCTTATTAAGAAAATGTAATATATTGCTTGTATATTATTAAATATGTTTCACTGTTTTTACTTCAGATTGGACCAACATGCGAGGACTGTTAGGCAGTGTTCTTCTGTCACTGCTAGTTAGCCTGTCTGCGGCCCAGACCGAGGTAGGTGGCCACAGTTGCATTGTACACAATATAATATGTGATGACAGGCCTACAATTCAGATAAAGGATATTTTTACAATGTATCTTCATGTTCTATGGTTAATGTTAGCCTGTATTTTTATCATTATCATTTTTTTTATTGAATACCACGCATGGATGCTTTTTTCGTGAACGATTTATGTAGTCTTGGTATGTCCCGTGTGTACATTCTACAACGGCCCGTGTATATATTAACCGTAGTGCATCTCATTGTTCAAACCAATGCGCGATAAAAGCGCAAATACCTGCACCCAACCGTCGCAATGTGTAAATAAGGAAGTTATCAATGCTTTTTGTTGTCTCGATTTAAACAAAATTATATTTGCAGGTTAAAATTACATTACGTACTGTAAAGTGAAAATGACAGGTTAACCATATGAATAGCTCAGCGAATTTTATGTTCATATTATATGTGCGCATGTACCGTACTCACACCAAAAAACGTGTCTGAGAATACTTTGAATTGCATGTATTATTTTATGTTAAAGATATCTTCTGACCGAATTATTGGCAGATTTACAACCTATATACTTATTAATCTCGCGTCCTTGTACATAGTATACCTATCTCCGATATAACGGTAAATAATTTCTATTTTATCATAAAAGAATAAAATGTGTTTAATCGGTTAAAGATTGTTGTAAAATCCTGGAAAACAATTTCTTCGGATCTGAGTATTGACATGTCAGATTTACAACCTAAATGATAGTAATTATATTTGTATACTTGTAGACGGTACACGTATATCCGATATAACGGAAAATAATTTCTACTTGATCAAAACATGAATATTTGTGTTTAATCGGATAAAGATTATTGTAAAAACTCGGTCAAGGAGAAGAAAAGTATTTACGCAGATCCACAGCTTTCTCGGGTATCACAACTGATGTAATAATGATGATGATGATGATGATGATTATTATTATTTTTATTATTATGTGAACGTACATCGAGATCAGTTGAGCTCGTACGTGGACGTCGCGTTAAAAATTGGCTGTTCAAAGATGCATATATAAGCAAAGATGACATTTCATGATACCGTTCATATTTACAAAACTCATTAACCTTCTTGTTTGTAGAAACAATCCATCCAGCAAGATGGGAGTCTGGCCCTGGCAGCACTCATTATTGGAATCATTGCATGCGTGGGAATACTCTTCCTCGGATCGGCTCTCGCTTGCTACATGAGAAGAATACAGGTAAATGTTACCACACACAGTAAACGACCCTTAGCTAGAGCAGGATCCAGGATTTTGAAAAGTGTGCGTGCGCGTGTGCTGTTAATGCCCAATATGAATTTTTATTTTATTTTTTTTATTTTTTTTTATTTTTTTTAATTTTTTTTTTTTTGGGGGGGGGGGGGGGTCAGATAGTGCTTGTCTGATCGATCCTACCTCCCAGTGACAGGTTTTCGCAATGATTGATGATTCTCCCTTTTATCGTCTAATTCATATTTTTCTTGAAATTATCAGTTATCTGCGTTTCTAGTCTTTTTCTTCTCGTAACAGAGAAAAACTCAGTAATGTAGGACTTCAATGCATGCATTCGGTTATAAAAAAAATACAGAAACATCATCCTGTATAATTACGCAGTGCGCAATACAAGGCAAGCGATAAGAGTGGGGCTATCCCGGAAATACTTGTACATCAACAAGCATGTCACCTGCCACAACAATCAACTGTGTTGTTTATTTCAGCATGGCGGATATGGACAACACAGCAACTACGGAAACTCCGTCTCAGGTAGGTCATTCCCTCGCTATAGCGCTGTCCTTCAGCCGGTTACACATCCGTGTTCCCAATATCCTACCGCGGACGGCCTTCAAGTGCCGGGTGTTGCGTAACCTTTACTCAAGGGTGAAACCTTCCCACTGGTACACAACCATTTCACGGCTGTACGATCATTGAGCGTGAGTGAGTTGGGTTTAACGCCGCTTTTAATAGTATTCCAGTTATATCGCAGCGTGTCAGCTTAATGTGGGAGGAAAGCCCGAAGTGATGCAGCTCTCAGACGTTTACCATTTCGGTGAGACACGCGAGTAAGGGTATGGTGCTGACAAACCTAGAAACATCATTGGGGCGAAGCGGGATTCGAACCTACAATCATAGGTTTCTGGCATGCCCAAGGGACGCAACTCTGAACAGCGAACCGCGGCGCCTCAGACGTCTTGGTCACCCGTGCCCCCGCGCTCCGAGAGAGCCAAAATTAGTACATTGTATATTATAGTCTGGAAGGTAATTTAAGGTACCAACATTTACTACAATATCTGAAAAACTATCGGACCTACTCCAGTCAAAGTAGGTATGAGATTATTACACAGCGATATTTCACAGCGAATCGCGGCGCCTTAGACGACTGGGCCACCCATGCGCCCCCCACGATCATCGAGAGATAACGATAATCATGTGGTTCAGAAAGAATAAAAAATCGTGCTGTCTGTCTAAACTTAAGCTTTGGTATTATGTTACAGTTTTTTTAATTTGTTGAGTTTGAACAAATTAATCCCACATCACGACATGAAAATGTGACATGGTAATATTGGCTTTGAGATTTTTCTGATAGGAGGAATTGAATTGATTTTAAGTTTCGTATCTGTGGTTTCAGATCGAATAGATTTGATGGAGAAGAATCCCCTGCCTGCAGCCGAGGCTCACGAACAATCAGTAATTCCGGTGAGTGCACTTCGTCACTTGTAGTGTTTTTATTTGTTTGTTGTTTAACGCCGCACTCAGCAATATTCAAGCTGTATGACGGCGGTCTGTATATAATCGAGTCTGGACCAGACGATCCGGTGATTGACATCATCAGCATCGATCAACGCAATTGGGACACAATGACATGCATCAACCGAACTTGACCACCCGATCCAGTTTGTCTCTTACGACAAGCATGGTTATAGTGAGTTTACGTCAGCTATATAACGGCGGTCTGCAAAAATCTGGACCATACAATGTTATTATTATGAATGTAAAGATAATAGTAGTAAGATAAGGACTGTTATTTCGTGAATATATGTGAGTATAGAACTATTTAAGTAATTACATTACGTTTAATGAAATATGGTTGGCTGTGATTTTAAAGGGAGAGAGTATTTTGATTTTTACTTGATATACATGTTAGTGCCTTAGCTGAAACATCACTGAAGTGCAGATAAAGTTGTTATTCATTCTCGTTCATTGCTTACTTTATTGTATTATTTAGATACTTAAAGTAATATACATTAAGAATTTAAATTCAATAGTCTATACATACTACTGAAATACGTTAAGGATAATCCGATCCTTTCATATTACCATAGTTAATCTGTCATGCCATGCCAGATAAACTATAGTAATATGAAAGAAACGGGGCTTCTTTACTTTTTTAAGTTGTATACAACACCCATATATGTAGGAACACCGCAAAAAAACGGTCTATATGGCAAGTGTGTAGGTGAAATCTTGTGTAGGTTGTATTCTGTTCAAACGAAAAAATGCCAATACAAGTGTTTTGTGTATTCCGTGATGTTATAGGGTCCTGCTGATCTGGACAAATGTCAATAATACCAGTATTTGATCAGTGTGCGTTTGTTTCCAGTGTGAGGAAGCCAACTGGTGTCTTGGTGTAGGAACCCTACGTCAGATATCGCTGTCCCTCCTCCACGACATGCTGCTCAACCTGTACAACATCCACATCAAACTCGAGTGCCGAACGACACAGAAGTTCCAGTCTGACCGCGAACTGGCCATGACCACGGCCGCCGACAATGAGACAGTCAGCAAACAACTTGGACAGACGCTTCAACTCATCTTCCCCAACGACTCTTCTAAAGCGGAAACCTTTCAGGCTATAGGCGAGAAGATCCTCAAGGATAACACAGTGAGGCAACTCCTGGACTCCACCTTCAGAATCTGCCGCGTCTGCATGGGCATCGTCCGGGAGTGGGAGGCCGAGAGGGAGCCTTTTGTTGGCGTCCTGCCGACGGAAGGAGCAGGCTACATAAACTTCAGCGTCGTCGATGACGTCAACAAGGTCAAGCTTACATGGGACGAGCACAAGTTTGAGAAAGACTTCATGAATACAATGTGCAGGCTGGCTCAAGCGTTGCGAGATGAACGTCGCCAACCCACCCCGGTGGAGTACCTTGCCTTCCAGTTGGCCTACCATTGTCTGGCTAAAGGAAAACAGGTCACCCTAAAGCCGCACAGGTCACTTGGCTCGCCAGGCTTCCGTCCCCACACACAGACATACATGTCACTCACCGACCCCGGCGAAGGCCATGTGTTGGGCACCACCCGCTTCAACGAGTGGATGCAGGGCGCTATCATCCACGTGGAACACCTCGAGAGACCGAAACATCTCCCAAGGAAGAATATCGAGTCGTACAGAATATCGTCTCTCTTCAACTTCTCCAAAGTGCGTCTGCACGTTGGCCAGGCTGCTCCCACCACCTACTTCGTCGGCAGAGCCATGAAAGACTCTTCATCAGGCAAGTTTGAAGAGGATTTCCTTAAAGTGGTTCACATGACGTCCGCTACCATATCTGCCGCCTTCTACCAAGGCGGAGCCGAGTGCAAGGTGGCCATGGAAGGACTGACAACAAGCCAGGCCCTGCGATACATGAGAGCTCTGAAGGCCCAGGTCAACCGGGATCGCTTCAACCAATATCTGTCAGCTGCATGGAATCTGAACCAGGTCATCGTGGACGACTATGAACGGGAAGAAGCGATTGAACTCAAGACCAGGAAAGAAATTGCCCTGAGAGCTATTGAGATTACTTCACTTGGGGGCTTTGATAAGGTAACGCTGGACGGGGCAAGTGACACCTACCCATCCAAATGTATCATGTACCAGATGGGATTTGAAGAGGCTCTCGCCTTCAACCATGAGGCTCACATGCGAGGTCTGGTCACATACTTCTCCGCCGGCTTCAAGTTCGACGAAATCAAACACGCCGTGTTTGCCGGAGTGGACGGTATCGGCATCGGGGGAGCTCAGGTGTTGAGGTACATGGACAGTGACAGCGGCATGCACGGGCCTTACACGGAGGAGAACATCCCGCGCATCCTGCAGAGCAGAGACGATGCTGCCAAGTCTGTCCGCGGAAGAGGAGTGCACCTCCTGGTCAGACTGGACACCATGTTCTTCGAGGGAACAATATCTAGTGTGGAGAACGGCATGAGGGAGCAGCTATTCAATGCTCTGCTCCAGCAGAGAGAAGAGGAAATCAAATCTGTGGTTACAAAGCTGGACTATATCATGAACATCCCATGTGAATTTGGTCTCCCACTTGCCGGGCAAGCTAAACGGCTGACTGTGGCTGAGACCCCACTCCTCAAAGAATGCGCAGAGTCAACGTACGAGTGGGCCTTGTTCATCTCCAGACTGCGGACGCAGGTCGGAAAGATGGATGAGGCTGCTCTGGTGGAGGAGTATGACGGGGAGCCGTGGCACACATACAGAAAGAAGTACAGAGACAATCTTCAGAGGGAGCTTCTGAGGGGTTATACCAGGCAGGTGTCGTTCCAAGTGCAGTACAAGACGACAATGTGAAGTACTACGCGTTCAAAGCGTGACCTGTGATCTCCAATGTTCATGTCCTAGAGACAAGACAGCAACGAAGCAGTGATGAGTCCTCTGTAACCTAACGCCTTGATGGCTCATATCCAAAGGCTGCCACTGTCATCTGTCACATACTTTCTCAGCAAATCTCAAATATTTCACTCAGGGTGAACAAAGCATGTTTGACGACACATGTTCTACGATACAGTATAGGCGTGGACAGGTCTCGTTCTGCGTTCTGGATACACAAAGCATCCTCAAGGACAACCGTTTTAAGCATGATCAAAACTAAGGATGTGTTTTGCAAGGGATCAGACAGTGATCATTCTGAATCGTAACATACTACTTCTTATATTGATTCTAAATTTGCACAAATCTAAAAGGCATTTGCAATGAGAATAATGTATCGTACCTCAAGTTCAAAAGAAGTTTTGATAATCACTAATGTTTCCCACAAAACACAGCTGAGAACCATGTTTAAACGTGAGAAAAAATAATGACGCTCTCCTAACGTATTTCATACTTCGGATGACCCCCTCCTCATGATCTTGTACATTTCTCTCATGCCCCTCCTTGAAAAGACAAAATGCAAAGGCACTTTATACTTTATTATACACTGTCCATTTGAACATGACCCTCCTTGAATATGTGTATCAACTTTTATGACCCTCCCCTAGAGACTGTCACATTTTTGGTGACCGTTCCTGATCTCTCCCCTCCCCCCCCCCCCCCCCCCCCCCCAAAAAAAATGTTTTTCAACAATACACTATTACTGAATGCGAATTGCCATCTCAGATTCCCCATGTAAGATTGCCAGACTGGTGCTAAACAACAGCCAAAATGGCCTGTACACAATGTAGCGGTGTTTTTTTCGTTCACTTTGTATCTACGATTAAGCCAACATAGAGACGGTCATATCCCAGGGGGTGTGGTAACCAGATGCGTATATATAGATGCGTTATGGCTTTGTCATGGCTTTGTCTAGGCATTTTGAATGGGAGATGAAGTGAGAAATAAGAAAATGGAGTTATGTCCCTTAGTGCGTCGTCTGCTCAGCTAATTTCACAATTTGTAACCACTCGCCCCTTTCCGTCACCTGCAGCTATTCGGCTTGTCCCGGAATAACACGAATTGGTCACTAATGCTAATTTCCTGTGACAATATCTTCAAATAAGGTGAAACTATATTGCATTCAGTTGCGAATAGATGCATTTTACAATTTGATGGCATGGTATATGATATTATTATAAGGTAGTTTTTATATCATACACTTTGGTTGGGACGGAGTCCAAATTTACTACCCGGGTACCCACCCCCCTGTAACTACCCTCAGGAGATGTCTCAAAATGTCCGATTGGGAACTTTTTTTAGCATAGCCCTGACAAAACGTATTTAGATACATGTATTAAACAATTTGATCATTCATACACTGAAGTTGACCTAGGTTATATGTTTATTCAACCATATGAAAAGTCAGAAAGAAAAGCGGACATTATTGTCTTGTAGTGTAACCATAGAGTTCAAGATAATTTTAGTCATTAGACAATATATCACGTGACAAACCACAGGTCCGGGTAGTCCTGTGGGTACCCGGGTCCTACTCAGTACCCACCCGACCCGGTACCCGAGTTACCCGTCCCAGTCCTATCATACACCATATCAACCCTCAACACCCAGATCAGCCCTCTGGACTTCGGTTGATACGGGGTATATGAAAACTGCCGTATATTAAAAAAACATTATATTAAATGACTTCTACAACCTTGCAATATCTATCAATTATCTATACATGTTCCATTATTGTGAATTGTACAAATGTGATCACAGAATAATTCTGAGAATTAACTGCAGTGCAGTTTTGTTTGTTTAATGGCTGTTGTACATAGTGTGATGTTTCATTATCAAGTGAATGTTTCTATTATTTGTTGACTGTAAACATAATACATTATTGAATGGATGATGATCATCATGATGTTGATGAAGATGATGATGATGATGATGAAAGAGTTTTGGTCTGAAACTTTGTCTTGTTTACTTGCAGCGTTCATATCATCCAAGTTTGTACAGACTGAAAAATAAAAAAAATGTTATAACAGATCAAGATATTTTTTAGTTATTTTTGTTCCAGCAAGGTACAATCTTCATACATTTGCAGACACAACATACAGATTTAAGAAACACAATGACTTACTAGAGAGAAGGGAATTGTAATGCACGTTATGCCTTAAATTTAACGTTTAAAGAAAGGTAACACGTTACTGTGTTTGTTGTTTAACGCCGCACAAAATTCCAGCAATATGATGGCGGTTTACGAATAATCGTGTCAGACAATCCAGTGATTGACACCATGAGCATCGATCTACGCATATGGGATACAATGACATGCATCAACCAAGTCAGCGAGATTGTGCACCCAATCAAGTTGCCTCTTATGACAAGTTTGGGCTGCTGAAGACCAATTCTAACCCGGATCTTCACAGGTTAACTAATGTCACTAGTGAAGGTTAACCGGTCTTCGGATAAAAATATATGATAATGAATAGTCAAAAGAATTTTATTTCAGCTGCATGGCATAAAACATTCTGATAAGAGGTAAAATAAAAGGCAAGTTAATGAACATGTTCACTCACACCATCTGGTACCATTTGATAAAACGGACAGCACCATATATTTACGATATCGAAACCTATTTAAGGTAACACTGTATGTGGAAGTTCTGGTCAATTATGATAGTGGTGTGTGGGCCGGTGGGATCGGTTTTAGGACTCTGTCATGTTTAGCTGCCACCTCCCATCCCATTTTCATGTCCCCTGCCCAAATATATGCAACATTTTCATGACACCTCATCTTCCAACTATAAAGTCCACTTTCCACCCCATCTTCCCGAGGCAAGGGAGTTAACTGACTACAAAATTCCAGTTTCCACCCTTGACTAACTAGGCTAGAATTTCCAGGCTCAATGGTAGCGCTATTATGAATTATGACCCTCCTATGTCCCACCTCTTGACCAGTCAGATTACATCTCTCATATCACTTGCATTTGCTTTAAACACAATGGCAGTTTCCAGTCAAGATCGATAATCAAGATCTATATTGTAATAATACTGGTCCTACCCAGCAAAGTGCATCAAATCACTTGAGCACCTTGATTAAAAACATGAAAAGTCTTTAAAAATATCTGTTGGTGGTACACATGCTTTGCAAATCCTGCAGTCGACCGAATTCTGCATATTGAAATTCATGTTGTTTATGAACTGGATGTCTAGTTATAACATGATTTTAATTGGACTATGCATTGATGCTCGTTAGTCCAGCCAAAATGTAACTCCATAATTCCAGGCTAGTTCGGCAAGGATGGAAACTGGACTTTTAAAGTCAGCAATAAACCTCCAACGATGTCGCTGTCATAAATATAGGTTCGACTTTTCTCGGGTAAACCCGTAGAGGAGTTATCCCTGAGAAAGCCCAGGTAAGCAGGCATTCCAGCTTAAGTATGCCCGGGTCAGCTGGCATTCCAGCTTAAGTATGCCCGGGTAAGCGGGCATTCCAGCTTAAGTATGCCCGGGTAAGCGGGCATTCTAGCTTAAGCATGCCCGGGTAAGCGGGCATTCCAGCTTAAGCATGCCCGGGTAGGCAGGCATTCCAGCTTAAGTATACCCAGGTAAGTGGGTATTCCAGCTTAAGTATACCCGGGTAAGCGGGCATTCCAGCTTAAGTATACCAGGGTAAGCGGGCATTCCAGCTTAAGTATACCAGGGTAAGTGGATATTCCAGCTTAAGTATGCCCAGGTAAGCGGGCATTCCGTGAAATTTAACGTTTTATAAACTTGCCTCTTGATGTGAACACAATTGTGTTTGATGATTTGTTATAAGTGAGAAATGTGTTTTAAAAATTGTTCAGATTATCACGTCTGACTCCATCTAGTCAAGGCTGCATGTGTCTTATACCGCGATACACTGTATTGTTTCACTATAAGGTATGTCAATGTTTTCTATATTATGCAAGGTATTTCTTGCATTTAGATGGTTTATATCTATAACTTAACTCCCTTGCTTTGGGAAGATGATGACAGGCCTCCCCTATAATAAATGACCAGTCCCTACATATTGTTCAAATCTATAATTTCTTGCTCCCTTTCTAGTTGTTATAGACAGATTGCAATGAATAAAATATATACAGCACCACATAATGTTTATTTTACATTTTAATACTTACAATGTATTAAAGTTCACCAACAAAAATACCTTTTTGACAAAGTCTACATTTTTGAAACACAACACAGATGAAAATGTTACAGCCAACCACCATAACAAGAGTTTGCCACTAACGTGGCTATATCCCCTGCCCCTGTCGCAGAATTTATGACATAATTAAATCTAAACAAACCCTAACCTTTTTTAACCGAGGTGGAACTTGTCATGGAAATTGTCAACCATAGGGACCATAGTCCATCTTGTTGCCGTTGGAAACGTAAAAAATAAAAATTTCTAAAATTTCTAAATAGCAAAAGGCACCAGTCCAGCATGCACCTGACAAACCTGCAAAGTTTCATGAAGAAATATTGAACGGTTTCTGAGTTATGCTCCGGAAACGAAACGTGATGGACAGAGCCCGTTTCTATATCCGGGGCGGGGGATAATAAAAATCGTCATCTATTGAAAAGTAAAAATGTTTGATACAACATGTTACAAAATCTATTTTAAGACCTCGTGCCAAGCAAGCGAGAATGAAACAAGTTGCTTCGAAAGCCATGTGGAATACAGACTAAATGACGTTACTGAATACTGCCGAAAAGTAAGTGCCAAAAAGAAGTTAATCATATTAAACACAAAATGCTTCCAAGCAAAGAATAGAAATAAGGTAATTCATACCATTTGTAGACCATCAACTCTTTGGATTAAAAAACTCACATGGCAGGCAGGCGACATACTTCTGACTTTAGACTTACCACTGCCCAGGGCGGTCGGGTAGCCTAGTAGTTAAAGCGTTCGCCAGTCACGCTGAAGACCCGGGTTCAATTCTCCACATGGGTACCATGTGTTAAGCCTATTTCTGATGTCCCCCACTGTGATATTGCTGGAATATTGCTAAAAGTGGCATAAAAACCAAACTCACTCATTACCATTGCCCAGAAGTTTTCCCCCTTTGTAACCACTATGACTGCATCCCACTAAAAACATGACAAAGATATAAATCATTTGTGTGAGAACCCAGGCCACAGAACCCATGTGTGAAACCAGTTCATATGGAGAATTGAACTTGACCCTTCATGATCAAAAGAAACAGCTTGCAACCACTAGGCGAGCCCACTGCTCTACTGTAGGAATTGAAAAGGGGTTAACTGCATACTGACTATAGCCAACCAATCCTTGTTTCATCCCCAAAATGCCGAGCATCAGGCAGGGTAACAACAAGTACAATGTTTCTATGTCATTTGGTATGACACGGTAGACACTTGCCCTTCTTCCAGACAAGCTGTTGCACATCATGTGAGATTGACCCACAGTTTACAGGAAAGAAGATACCACTGCATTTAAGCAATAATCAATTCATTCAGTTAAGAGAAATAAACATATGTGACTGAATGACCTAAGAGAAATGTAGAGAGGAAACTAGTGGTCAATAGCATGAGCAGCATCCGATATTGTTGGTGTATGATCATGACAGACAACAAATTGGGTACTCTCTTCTGTAAGTCAGGTACTCTCTTCTGTAAGTCAGGTACTCTCTTCTGTAAGTCAGGTACTCTCTTCTGTAAGTCAGGTATTCTCTTCTGTAAGTCAGGTACCCTCTTCTGTAAGTTAGGTATTCTCTTCTGTAAGTCAGGTACTCTCTTCTGTAAGTTAGATACTCTCTTCTGTAAGTTAGGTATTCTCTTCTGTGACTAGTGGTACTAGGGGCACATTCCTGGAAGTGTATGGAATGTCAGGTGCTTCTCACATAGCACAGCATCACGTTGACCTAGATCTGATCGGGCCCTCCCGTCACTTGGCTTGTCTTCACTCCGTCCTCCCCCAAGTCCTCTGAAACTAAACCCAGAATAGGATCAGTTGCAAAAACTCAACATGATGATGAGGAATGAACTTCAATAATTTTGTGTGTTAATGGACATGTAAACATAAAAATGTCATGCATACTGTGTTCTTCCAAGGATTTACACAAAGATTGTGCACAACTTTTTACGTTAATCATTCCATTCATGCAAAAACAGATTGAAGGCAATTCTTAGAAAAAAAATGTCAGCAAAAGATTTACAGACAAGAAAACGAATCGGGGCAACGTTCAGTGCATTAATGCAACTCAAGCCTCGTCCATTCTATTATCTGGAAAAATTAGTTTGCTTGTGAGCTAATTGTTGTTCTGTTGATCATGTTTAGGATGACAATGCCAACCCCCCAAAATATTGTCACATGTCTTGTTGATCTATTAAGACTGTCAGGGCTAAATTAATATAATCACTTAAACATACATTAACATTTGCCTGTGTATTGCATATTCAAATAATCTTTTTTATTGATGTTCATTTTGTGAAACATTCTCTGATTTGATAACAATTTAAGACTGTATTATAGGTGAGGTGAGGTGAGGTGGGTTTTGACTTCACGTCCAAGATTATTGCACTAATATATCAATGTGTGTGTGTGTGTGCGTGTGTGCGTGTGCGTGTGCGTGTGCGTGTGAATGTGCGTGTGTGAATGTGTGTGTGAATATTTGCACTAGTCAAGACACGCTGGTTTTAAATAAATGCTAGCCCACTGACATACCATGCTGCAGTTTAACATGGATACCCCACTCAGACACATCATACTGAATCCGAGCCGACCAGTCCTTGTTTGTGCCCCTTAATGCCGAGCACCTGACAAGTACCATCTCTTAATGTCTTTTAGTATGACATGGCTGGGGATCAAACCCCAGGACCTTCCACTCACAGGGCAGACACTCTATCATAAGACAACGGAGGCGGCCAACTTTGATATAGGCTAGTGGACACTCCTGCATCGCTGAGATAACTGTCTATGACTGCCTCATCTGTGTGCGGAGTACACCTACCGACAGTGACACAACTGTTACTCTGTCTGTTTACACTGTCTGTGTCTGCCTCATCTGTCTGCGGAGTACACCTACCGACAGTGACACAACTGTTACTCTGTGTGTTTACACTGTCTGTGTCTGCCTCATCTGTCTGCGGAGTACACCTACCGACAGTGACACAACTGTTACTCTGTGTGTTTACACTGTCTGTGTCTGCCTCATCTGTCTGCGGAGTACACCTACCGACAGTGACACAACTGTTACTTTGTCTGTTTACACTGTCTGTGACTGCCTCATCTATGTGCGGAGTACACCTACCGACAGTGACACAACTGTTACTCTGTCTGTTTACACTGTCTGTGTCTGCCTCATCTGTCTGCGGAGTACACCTACCGACAGTGACACAACTGTTACTTTGTCTGTTTACACTGTCTGTGTCTGCCTCATCTGCGTGCGAAGTACACCTACCGACAGTGACACAACTGTAACTCTGTCTGTTTACACTGTCTGTGTCTGCCTCATCTGTCTGCGGAGTACACCTACCGACAGTGACACAACTGTTACTCTGTGTGTTTACACTGTCTGTGTCTGCCTCATCTGTCTGCAGAGTACACCTACCGACAGTGACACAACTGTTACTCTGTCTGTTTACACTGTCTGTGTCTGCCTCATCTGTCTGCGGAGTACACCTACCGACAGTGACACAACTGTTACTCTGTGTGTTTACACTGTCTGTGTCTGCCTCATCTGTCTGCGGAGTACACCTACCGACAGTGACACAACTGTAACTCTGTCTGTTTACACTGTCTGTGTCTGCCTCATCTGTGTGTGGAGTACACCTACCGACAGTGACACAACTGTTACTTTGTCTGTTTACACTGTCTGTGTCTGCCTCATCTGTGTGCGGAGTACACCTACCGACAGTGACACAACTGTTACTTTGTCTGTTTACACTGTCTGTGACTGCCTCATCTGTGTGCGGAGTACACCTACCGACAGTGACACAACTGTTACTCTGTCTGTTTACACTGTCTGTGTCTGCCTCATCTGTGTGCGGAGTACACCTACCGACAGTGACACAACTGTTACTCTGTCTGTTTACACTGTCTGTGTCTGCCTCATCTGTGTGCGGAGTACACCTACCGACAGTGACACAACTGTTACTCTGTCTGTTTACACTGTCTGTGTCTGCCTCATCTGCGTGCGGAGTACACCTACCGACAGTGACACAACTGTTACTCTGTCTGTTTACACTGTCTGTGTCTGCCTCATCTGTGTGCGGAGTACACCTACCGACAGTGACACAACTGTTACTTTGTCTGTTTACACTGTCTGTGACTGCCTCATCTGTCTGCGGAGTACACCTACCGACAGTGACACAACTGTTACTCTGTCTGTTTACACTGTCTGTGTCTGCCTCATCTGTGTGCGGAGTACACCTACCGACAGTGACACAACTGTTACTTTGTCTGTTTACACTGTCTGTGTCTGCCTCATCTGTGTGCGGAGTACACCTACCGACAGTGACACAACTGTTACTCTGTCTGTTTACACTGTCTGTGTCTGCCTCATCTGTGTGCGGAGTACACCTACCGACAGTGACACAACTGTTACTTTGTCTGTTTACACTGTCTGTGACTGCCTCATCTGCGTGCGAAGTACACCTACCGACAGTGACACAACTGTTACTCTGTGTGTTTACACTGTCTGTTTCTGCCTCATCTGTGTTTACGGAGTACACCTACCGACAGTAACACAACTGTTACTTTGTCTGTTTACACTGTCTGTGACTGCCTCATCTGTGTGCGGAGTACACCTACCGACAGTGACACAACTGTTACTCTGTCTGTTTACACTGTCTGTGTCTGCCTCATCTGTCTGCGGAGTACACCTACCGACAGTGACACAACTGTTACTTTGTCTGTTTACACTGTCTGTGACTGCCTCATCTGTGTGCGGAGTACACCTACCGACAGTGACACAACTGTTACTCTGTCTGTTTACACTGTCTGTGTCTGCCTCATCTGTCTGCGGAGTACACCTACCGACAGTGACACAACTGTTACTCTGTGTGTTTACACTGTCTGTGTCTGCCTCATCTGTCTGCGGAGTACACCTACCGACAGTGACACAACTGTTACTCTGTGTGTTTACACTGTCTGTGTCTGCCTCATCTGTCTGCGGAGTACACCTACCGACAGTGACACAACTGTTACTTTGTCTGTTTACACTGTCTGTGACTGCCTCATCTGTGTGCGGAGTACACCTACCGACAGTGACACAACTGTTACTCTGTCTGTTTACACTGTCTGTGTCTGCCTCATCTGTCTGCGGAGTACACCTACCGACAGTGACACAACTGTTACTCTGTGTGTTTACACTGTCTGTGTCTGCCTCATCTGTGTGCGGAGTACACCTACCGACAGTGACACAACTGTTACTCTGTCTGTTTACACTGTCTGTGTCTGCCTCATCTGTCTGCGGAGTACACCTACCGACAGTGACACAACTGTTACTCTGTGTGTTTACACTGTCTGTGTCTGCCTCATCTGTCTGCGGAGTACACCTACCGACAGTGACACAACTGTTACTCTGTTTGTTTACACTGTCTGTGTCTGCCTCATCTGTCTGCGGAGTACACCTTACGACAGTGACACAACTGTTACTCAGTCTGTTTACACTGTCTGTGTCTGCCTCATCTGTGTGCGGAGTACACCTTACGACAGTGACACAACTGTTACTCTGTGTGTTTACACTGTCTGTGTCTGCCTCATCTGTGTGCGGAGTACACCTACCGACAGTGACACAACTGTTACTCTGTCTGTTTACACTGTCTGTGTCTGCCTCATCTGTCTGCGGAGTACACCTACCGACAGTGACACAACTGTTACTCTGTCTGTTTACACTGTCTGTGTCTGCCTCATCTGTGTGCGGAGTACACCTACCGACAGTGACACAACTGTTACTCTGTCTGTTTACACTGTCTGTGTCTGCCTCATCTGTGTGCGGAGTACACCTTACGACAGTGACACAACTGTTACTCTGTCTGTTTACACTGTCTGTGTCTGCCTCATCTGTGTGCGGAGTACACCTACCGACAGTGACACAACTGTTACTCTGTCTGTTTACACTGTCTGTTTCTGCCTCATCTGTGTTTACGGAGTACACCTACCGACAGTGACACAACTGTTACTCTGTCTGTTTACACTGTCTGTGTCTGCCTCATCTGTGTGCGGAGTACACCTACCGACAGTGACACAACTGTTACTTTGTCTGTTTACACTGTCTGTGACTGCCTCATCTGTCTGCGGAGTACACCTACCGACAGTGACACAACTGTTACTCTGTGTGTTTACACTGTCTGTGTCTGCCTCATCTGTCTGCGGAGTACACCTACCGACAGTGACACAACTGTTACTCTGTCTGTTTACACTGTCTGTGTCTGCCTCATCTGTGTGCGGAGTACACCTACCGACAGTGACACAACTGTTACTTTGTCTGTTTACACTGTCTGTGTCTGCCTCATCTGTGTGCGGAGTACACCTACCGACAGTGACACAACTGTTACTCTGTCTGTTTACACTGTCTGTGACTGCCTCATCTGTGTGCGGAGTACACCTACCGACAGTGACACAACTGTTACTCTGTCTGTTTACACTGTCTGTGTCTGCCTCATCTGTGTGCGGAGTACACCTACCGACAGTGACACAACTGTTACTTTGTCTGGTTACACTGTCTGTGTCTGCCTCATCTGTGTGCGGAGTACACCTACCGACAGTGACACAACTGTTACTTTGTCTGTTTACACTGTCTGTGTCTGCCTCATCTGTGTGCGGAGTACACCTACCGACAGTGACACAACTGTTACTTTGTCTGTTTACACTGTCTGTGACTGCCTCATCTGTGTGCGGAGTACACCTACCGACAGTGACACAACTGTTACTCTGTCTGTTTACACTGTCTGTGTCTGCCTCATCTGTGTGCGGAGTACACCTACCGACAGTGACACAACTGTTACTCTGTCTGTTTACACTGTCTGTGTCTGCCTCATCTGTGTGCGGAGTACACCTACCGACAGTGACACAACTGTTACTCTGTCTGTTTACAGTGTCTGTGTCTGCCTCATCTGTGTGCGGAGTCCACCTACCGACAGTGACACAACTGTTACTTTGTCTGTTTACACTGTCTGTGTCTGCCTCATCTGTGTGCGGAGTACACCTACCGACAGTGACACAACTGTTACTTTGTCTGTTTACACTGTCTGTGTCTGCCTCATCTGCGTGCGGAGTACACCTACCGACAGTGACACAACTGTTACTCTGTCTGTTTACACTGTCTGTGTCTGCCTCATCTGTGTGCGGAGTACACCTACCGACAGTGACACAACTGTTACTCTTGTCTGTTTACACTGTCTGTTTCTGCCTCATCTGTGTTTACGGAGTACACCTACCGACAGTGACACAACTGTTACTCTGTGTGTTTAAACTGTCTGTGTCTGCCTCATCTGTGTGCGGAGTACACCTACCGACAGTGACACAACTGTTACTCTGTCTGTTTACACTGTCTGTGTCTGCCTCATCTGTGTGCGGAGTACACCTACCGACAGTGACACAACTGTTACTTTGTCTGTTTACACTGTCTGTGTCTGCCTCATCTGTGTGCGGAGTACACCTACCGACAGTGACACAACTGTTACTCTGTCTGTTTACACTGTCTGTGACTGCCTCATCTGTCTGCGGAGTACACCTACCGACAGTGACACAACTGTTACTCTGTGTGTTTACACTGTCTGTGTCTGCCTCATCTGTCTGCGGAGTACACCTACCGACAGTGACACAACTGTTACTCTGTCTGTTTACACTGTCTGTGTCTGCCTCATCTGTGTGCGGAGTACACCTACCGACAGTGACACAACTGTTACTTTGTCTGTTTATGCCTCATCTGTGTGCGGAGTACACCTACCGACAGTGACACAACTGTTACTTTGTCTGTTTACACTGTCTGTGACTGCCTCATCTGTCTGCGGAGTACACCTACCGACAGTGACACAACTGTTACTCTGTGTGTTTACACTGTCTGTGTCTGCCTCATCTGTCTGCGGAGTACACCTACCGACAGTGACACAACTGTTACTCTGTCTGTTTACACTGTCTGTGTCTGCCTCATCTGTGTGCGGAGTACACCTACCGACAGTGACACAACTGTTACTTTGTCTGTTTATGCCTCATCTGTGTGCGGAGTACACCTACCGACAGTGACACAACTGTTACTCTGTCTGTTTACACTGTCTGTGACTGCCTCATCTGTGTGCGGAGTACACCTACCGACAGTGACACAACTGTTACTCTGTGTGTTTACACTGTCTGTGTCTGCCTCATCTGTGTGCGGAGTACACCTACCGACAGTGACACAACTGTTACTTTGTCTGTTTACACTGTCTGTGTCTGCCTCATCTGTGTGCGGAGTACACCTACCGACAGTGACACAACTGTTACTTTGTCTGGTTACACTGTCTGTGTCTGCCTCATCTGTGTGCGGAGTACACCTACCGACAGTGACACAACTGTTACTTTGTCTGTTTACACTGTCTGTGTCTGCCTCATCTGTGTGCGGAGTACACCTACCGACAGTGACACAACTGTTACTTTGTCTGTTTACACTGTCTGTGACTGCCTCATCTGTGTGCGGAGTACACCTACCGACAGTGACACAACTGTTACTCTGTCTGTTTACACTGTCTGTGTCTGCCTCATCTGTGTGCGGAGTACACCTACCGACAGTGACACAACTGTTACTCTGTCTGTTTACACTGTCTGTGTCTGCCTCATCTGTGTGCGGAGTACACCTACCGACAGTGACACAACTGTTACTCTGTGTGTTTACACTGTCTGTGTCTGCCTCATCTGTGTGCGGAGTACACCTACCGACAGTGACACAACTGTTACTTTGTCTGTTTACACTGTCTGTGTCTGCCTCATCTGCGTGCGGAGTACACCTACCGACAGTGACACAACTGTTACTCTGTCTGTTTACACTGTCTGTGTCTGCCTCATCTGTGTGCGGAGTACACCTACCGACAGTGACACAACTGTTACTTTGTCTGTTTACACTGTCTGTGACTGCCTCATCTGTCTGCGGAGTACACCTACCGACAGTGACACAACTGTTACTCTGTGTGTTTACACTGTCTGTGTCTGCCTCATCTGTGTGCGGAGTACACCTACCGACAGTGACACAACTGTTACTTTGTCTGTTTACACTGTCTGTGTCTGCCTCATCTGTCTGCGGAGTACACCTACCGACAGTGACACAACTGTTACTCTGTCTGTTTACACTGTCTGTGTCTGCCTCATCTGTGTGCGGAGTACACCTACCGACAGTGACACAACTGTTACTTTGTCTGTTTACACTGTCTGTGTCTGCCTCATCTGTGTGCGGAGTACACCTACCGACAGTGACACAACTGTTACTCTGTCTGTTTACACTGTCTGTGTCTGCCTCATCTGTGTGCGGAGTACACCTACCGACAGTGACACAACTGTTACTTTGTCTGTTTACACTGTCTGTGACTGCCTCATCTGCGTGCGAAGTACACCTACCGACAGTGACACAACTGTTACTCTGTGTGTTTACACTGTCTGTGTCTGCCTCATCTGCCTGCGGAGTACACCTACCGACAGTGACACAACTGTTACTCTGTGTGTTTACACTGTCTGTGTCTGCCTCATCTGTGTGCGGAGTACACCTACCGACAGTGACACAACTGTTACTCTGTCTGTTTACACTGTCTGTTACTGCCTCATCTGTGTGCGGAGTACACCTACCGACAGTGACACAACTGTTACTCTGTGTGTTTACACTGTCTGTGTCTGCCTCATCTGTCTGCGGAGTACACCTACCGACAGTGACACAACTGTTACTCTGTGTGTTTACACTGTCTGTGTCTGCCTCATCTGTCTGCGGAGTACACATACCGACAGTGACACAACTGTTACTTTGTCTGTTTACACTGTCTGTGACTGCCTCATCTGTGTGCGGAGTACACCTACCGACGGTGACACAACTGTTACTCTGTCTGTTTACACTGTCTGTGTCTGCCTCATCTGTCTGCGGAGTACACCTACCGACAGTGACACAACTGTTACTCTGTGTGTTTACACTGTCTGTGTCTGCCTCATCTGTGTGCGGAGTACACCTACCGACAGTGACACAACTGTTACTCTGTCTGTTTACACTGTCTGTGTCTGCCTCATCTGTGTGCGGAGTACACCTACCGACAGTGACACAACTGTTACTCTGTCTGTTTACACTGTCTGTGTCTGCCTCATCTGTCTGCGGAGTACACCTACCGACAGTGACACAACTGTTACTTTGTCTGTTTAAACTGTCTGTGTCTGCCTCATCTGTGTGCGGAGTACACCTACCGACAGTGACACAACTGTTACTCTGTCTGTTTACACTGTCTGTGACTGCCTCATCTGTGTGTGGAGTACACCTACCGACAGTGACACAACTGTTACTTTGTCTGTTTACACTGTCTGTGTCTGCCTCATCTGTCTGCGGAGTACACCTACCGACAGTGACACAACTGTTACTTTGTCTGTTTACACTGTCTGTTTCTGCCTCATCTGTGTGCGGAGTACACCTACCGACAGTGACACAACTGTTACTCTGCGTGTTTACACTGTCTGTGACTGCCTCATCTGTGTGCGGAGTACACCTACCGACAGTGACACAACTGTTACTCTGTCTGTTTACACTGTCTGTGTCTGTCTGATCATCTTGCAGAATATTGTAGTCAACTAAGCTTCGTTGATCAAGATGAAGCCATCTGAAATAAAGGAATTTGAAATACATTCAACATGTAAATTTGGGGATGTTTGGTTCATGTTCATCTCAACATTGTTGCAAAAATGGTAAAGATCATTATAGCACTTTAATGCACCCTCTTAAATGAGGGCTTTAGTAAGTTTGTTTATCACTCACAGCATGATAGCGGCAGCAATAACACACAGACCAGCCGCCAGCAGGAAGCTGAATCCTGGGAAGAAAGCAAGGGATGCTGGGTAGAGCTGATTGAAGAGGAGGGATGCCAGCAAGCTTGCAACGCTCTCCACTGCAGCAACCAGCCCAAACAGTCTTCCTGGCAACAGGAAGATGAACATTTTCAACAAGTATAATTAATCTTCATTTGGTTTGTGTGACAAAACTGCACACTGGCCTAAACCTAACTCTGTTCAGTCTAGCTACCTATATCACATAAAAAAAATGCTTTTCTACGCTGTTTAGTCTGTTTACAACAGAGCATTACGATCTTACAACATCAGATGTAATCTAAGCCGGCTGCCTTACTGGGTTGGTTTGGTAGCCCAGTGGCTAAAGCGTTCGCTCGTCACACCAAACGTTTTCGATTCCCCATGTGGGTGCAATGTTTGAAGCCCATTTCAGATGTCCCCCGTGATGGTAATGCTGGAATATTGCTAAAAGCGGCATAGAACCACACTCACTCTAAATCTTACTCTGTTCAGTCTGACTTACTTCATCAGATGAGGTCTACGTCTTTCCCGGTTCAGTGTGACTTACTACATCAGATATGACCTAAATCTTACGCTGTTCAGTCCGACTTACTACATCAGATGAGGTCTAAGTCTTACCCTGTTCAGTCCGACTCACTACATCAGATGAGGTCCAAGGCTTACCCTGTTCAGACCGACTCACTACATCAGATGAGGTCTAAGTCTTAGCCTGTTCAGTCCGACTCACTACATCAGATGAGGTCTAAGTCTTACCCTGTTCAGTCCGACTCACTACATCAGATGAGGTCTAAGGCTTACCCTGTTCAGACCGACTCACTACATCAGATGAGGTCTAAGTCTTAGCCTGTTCAGTCCGACTCACTACATCAGATGAGGTCTAAGTCTTACCCTGTTCAGTCCGACTTACTACATCAGATGAGGTCTATGTCTAACCCTGTTCAGTCCGACTCACTACATCAGATGAGGTCTGAGTATAACACTGTCCAGTCTGACTTACTTCATCAGTTGAGGTCTAAGTCTTACCCTGTTCAGTCCGACTCATTACATCAGATGAGGTCTACGTCTAACCCTGTTCAGTCTGGCTTGCCACATCACATGAGGTCTAAGTCTTACCCTGTCCAGTCCGACTTACTACATCAGATGAGGTCTAAGTCTTACCCTGTCCAGTCCGACTTACTAAATCAGATGAGGTCTAAGTCTTACCCTGTTCAGTCCGACTTACTACATCAGATGAGGTCTGAGTCTAACCCTGTCCAGTCTGACTCACTACATCAGATGAGGTCTAAGTCTAACCCTGTCCAGACTGACTTACTACATCAGATGAGGTCTGAGTCTAACCCTGTCCAGTCTGACTTACTTCATCAGTTGAGGTCTAGGTCTTACCCTGTTCAGTCCGACTTACTACATCAGATGAGGTCTACGTCTAACCCTGTTCAGTCCGACTTACTACATCAGATGAGGTCTAAGTCTTACCCTGTCCAGTCCAACTAACTAAATCAGATGGGGTCTAAGTCTTAGCCTGTTCAGTCCGACTTACTACATCAGATGAGGTCTAAGTCCTACCCTGTTCAGCCTGACTTACTACATCAGATGAGGTATAAGTCTTACCCTGTTCAGTCCGACTTACTACATCAGATGGGGTCTAAGTCTTAGCCTGTTCAGTTCTCTGTTTGATTTGAGCCTTACCCTGTTCTCCTTTGCTGACCATACTGGACATCAGTGACCGAACAACAGCTGCTGGAAAGCCTTGAAACATGGCAAATATTACCACTGAAACAAAGAGCAATCGTTGCGGAAACATCTGAAGGGACATGGTGTCAAATAGGTAGAGGGAAAAGTTCTACAGGTCAAATGACGCCTCGTCAACAGAAGCTGAACAAACATGTGATAGATTATTTCATGAATAAACTTTTGAATTAGGAACATGTAATTGTTTACATTGCATGGGTTCCTGTTTATTTAGAGGTCAAGACAATAAAATGATTTGTAAAGTAAATTGCTGGCAAAAATGTTCAGAATCAATTTAAGACAAAACTAGAACACACTTAAAGGGCAAGTTCACACAGAAATTAACCTATTTTTCTTGTACTTTTTCCACAATAAAAGTGTTAACCTAGAAGTGTCATAGACAAAAATATAAAAATATCACAATTAATTAACATATTTTTCGCATTAAAACGATTTATATTTTTCACATTTACCAAGTGTTCTATTTCCACAACAAAAACACCATGGCTTATGCCCCTTGCAATATGACGTCATTGGTGCCAATTGATAAACATTATGACGTCATCATGCTTTGTTAGAGCCGCTTCACGTGGTGTAGGTCTAGGTGTGTGATTCTAGCGTCTCAGATGCCAGCCAGCATAGTGTTATGCTGAGTCACCACTGCGCCGGAGTGTGTCGTAGGCCATGTTGTTTTACCGCAAAATGGTACTTGATATCTTTTGCGTTGAGAATAGACAGGGACCCAGTTGAATTGGCACCAATTACGTCATAATCTAAGGGGGATAACTCAGGCCTGTTTAGCTCGAAAAACGAAGGCCTCATAACGGCATATCATTTTCACACTATTGTGAGCTTCCTACTTTCACTGTGAAAAAAATGAGTGTATATTTTCAAACACAGATACTAATTAATTCTAAAATTGCGTTTTGTTTAGAAAAAGAAAGAAAGTGATTTTTGCGTGTACACTTCCCCTTTAACTGATAGTGATAAAGGATGAAACAGATGAAGAACACACATGTTCAGTCAAGTTACCTAGAAATGTCAGCCATGTCTGTGTACTGAATCCGATGACCACCAGGCCGATGATCTTGGACGCCAGGCCCCATAGTCCTAAAGTGGTGTCTCTCAACTTCCTGCACAGAGGCAGAACTGTGACGAGGGTTAGACTGCGAGTGAAGTTCTCCAGACCCTTATAGTAACCAAACCTTGTCTGTGACCAGCTGAGAGGTGCTCGCCTTGTGTACAGGAGAAGGACGTCAATTTCACCTGTCAAATATCAGGGATTACCCCATCAGCAATGATCATTATCACTGAGGTTGGCATGTTTTTGTTTGTTTTTTAATGCTGCATTCAGCAATTTTCCAACTGTATGACGGCGGTCTGTAAATAATCTGGACCAGACAATAATGAGCATCGATCCAGGCAATTGGGATATGATAACATGCATCAAACCACCCGATCCCGTTAGTCGCCCCTTACGACCTGCAAAGTCGCCTTTTACAGCAAGCATTGGTTCCTGAAGGCCTATTCTACCCCGGATCTTCACGGATCGAGGTTGACATGTCATGTTAGATTGGTAACATACTGTCACAAGAATTTTTTGTTTTGTCCCCGTGGAGGAATCCGGGTTAGGGCTGGTCCTAAAAGGAGATTTACTGGATCAGGTGAACAGGATTGCTCACTTGGTTGATTGCATATCGTTGCTGATAATATCAATCACCGGATTGTCTGGTCCAGACTCGATTATTTACAGACCTCCGTCATATAGCTGGAATATTGCTGAGTGCGGCGTTAAACAACAAACAAACAAAACAAAACATGCGACATGTGCTAGTAGTAATGTTTCAGCTTTGGACAATGCATGTTTCATCTACACATGTGAGTGTTTCATCTACACATGTGAGTGTTTCATCTACGCATGTGAGTGTTTCATCTACGCATGTGAGTGTTTCATCTACGCATGTGAGTGTTTCATCTACACATGTGAGTGTTTCATCTACACATGTGAGTGTTTCATCTACACATGTGAGTGTTTCATCTACACATGTGAGTGTTTCATCTACGCATGTGAGTGTTTCATCTACGCATGTGAGTGTTTCATCTACGCATGTGAGTGTTTCATCTACACATGTGAGTGTTTCATCTACACATGTGAGTGTTTCATCTACACATGTGAGTGTTTCATCTACACATGTGAGTGTTTCATCTACACATGTGAGTGTTTCATCTACGCATGTGAGTGTTTCATCTACGCATGTGAGTGTTTCATCTACACATGTGAGTGTTTCATCTACACATGTGAGTGTTTCATCTACACATGTGAGTGTCTCATGGCTCCAATAGAGCCTCTTTGAATTAGATGAAGTTCTAAGTTTGGGGAAAACCAGAAAAGCCTACTTACATGATGTTCCGATAACAAGGATGATGAAGATGATGAGCACTAAGAAGATGTAGACATTTCTCTTCCCTTGCCTCGTCTTCATCACACAACGACCAGACTCCTTGATGGAGGACAGACACCAGTACGTGCAGATACCCTCACCCTCGGGTCTTGTCGTGTTGGCTGTGATGTTCTCTAGACGTATGATAGCGTATAACATTCCTAAGAAGGAGCTTCCACTTATGAACGCGAAGACGAAGACGAAGCTTGTATTGTCAAGCATGACTCCTGATACGAACACCCCAACTGTTGCAGCAAAGAATGTCATGGACTCCAGGATCCCTATTCGCATCGTTTTATTGGCTGGATCAGCAATGTGCGTCACGTAGCTGTACACGGACATCAGCAGGGCAGGGAATCCCCCGGACAAACCATTTACTACAGCACCAATCAAGACATACTCCACTTTACTTGAAGGGTAAATGGACAGGAGTAAGTTAACAATGGAAGACAATGTTGCTCCCAAACTGGGTAAAATCACTGGTAGTTTCCGACCCACTTTGTCACCCCAGGATCCAAGAAGAAACAGAACAAGCAAACATGACGGAACAAGTTCCACAACATTTTTCTTCAAAATCCAGTAGGACGTTTGTGACTGGACATAATCCTCTTCTGTTTTGTGGTCCTCCTGGAATGTCTTGTTCTGCAGACTGGTGCAGAAAGTCTTGTTGTAGCTGTCAATGCAGATCTTGTCAAACACAAAGGCCTGGAAGGTTGGGTATGTCAGAAAGGATCCGATCATGTATAGAAACAAAACTGGTTCAACTGTTATGAGGTTCAGATCAAACTGCCGTCTGCCACATCTAATAACGGCCATTTTGAAGATGTAAGTGAGTCAAAGATCCAATTCAGTGTCCATGATGTGAATACTTTGCGACCACTTCATGAATTCTAAGCAAACCATATCTGAAAGACAAATAATTTTATTCAATAGCATTTCAACCCATTCTCCATAGGTCACTTCAAACAACATCTTGTTTGTTTGTTGTTTTACGCTGCACTCAGCAATATTCCAGCTATATGACGGCGGTCTGTAAATAATCGAGTCTGGACCAGACAATCCAGTGATTGACATCATGAGCATCCCTCCACGCAAATGGGATACGATAACATGCATTAACCAAGTCAGCGAGCCTGACCACCCGATCCCGTTAGTCGCCTCTTACAACAGGCATAGTCGCCTTTTACGGCAAGCATGGATTGCTGAAATCCTATTATACCCCAGATCTTCATGGGCCCATTTAAACAACAGAAATGTCAGAGCTCCAGATAAACTGCGTATCTGCGTAAAATAGAAATGCAGAAATACGCAGTAAAATATAATCGAAGCGTATCAAATACGCAACGAACAATACAGATATGCTACAAAAATAAAACTTTTCCATATCATCAAAATATTGTGAAGTAACCCTGCGTATTTGATTAGCAAATCAGCAACTTATTTTGAAATTATAAACGGCATTCCGTCAACCTTGCCAAACTCCACGATGACAGTTACATCATGATCATTTGCCATCACACTTTCTTGTGGAAGTATCGTGGTATTTTTTAGTCCTATAAAGTTCTCGAACCCACACAACACCAGTTTGCAGGGACTAGATGAATAGTGTTTCTTAATATTTAACTTAAATACCCACATGTGTAAAATCTAGTGGGTAACAGAAATTTGAATACCCAGATAGAATAACTGATTTTAAAATGCATGGGTAAAATACCCACAACACCAAAAGCTTATCCGGAGCTCTGAATGTGTATCAATGAATTGTCATCACTAACATATACTTCTCAAAAGAATCTGTCAAGCATTCTGTTGACAGGGGAATACGTAGCAGGGCTGGACTAAGAATAATCCCACAGATGGATCTTTTATTGTCAGCCTGCTGACAGGGTTCATCTGTCTAGTCGAATGGACATGGGGTTAGACTTCGGACCACAAGAACACAATGTGTGGCCCTACACCTACATGACCACTTAGATACCTACTTTGCCCTTGGATCCCCACAATAGATCCTTGTGAGAATTCGTCATGTAAATGATCACTACTGTATAGACACAGAGCAAAACTATCTGTTCCAAGTCAATAAGCAAAGCAGGTAAACCTATGGAATGTATTCGACGTAATAAACGCCCAGGGCGCTCTAAAAATTGAAAGATAAATATTGTGGTTTATGCTGACAGCCTGAAATGTTTATATATATATGACAGATATATTTTTCCAGAATTTAACTGCCCATAATTAAGAGTGTATATAACACACGAGTGCGTATTATACGTGAATAAATAAGTCTTGTGTACATTGATCAATCGGAAGGGTGCTAATTGGGATTGTTCACTAGCCAATATATTAGCAAATATTGCTGTGGGCGCTTATTAGAGCGGGGCGCTTATTACGTCGATATGGTATATATATATATTTGAATATAAGAATAGATGAGCTTTCTTGATGACAATTTGTGGCGAGTTTTGTTTCGCTGTGCTATTAATAACAGGTATGCCTACAGGTAGGGCAAATAATTGCTGTTTATCTTGTCTTGCAGTCACTGTCACAGGTGGTTCACCTTGCCCGACAAAAGTGGGAGGATGGGGGTCCCCAAATAATTAATTTTACGGGTCCTTGGAGGCAATATGAGGGTCCTGTAAAGTAATGAAATGGTATAGTGTACTGTGTTTAGATAATTACTTCAGAACCTGGAATGAATCCATGATCATGTGGGCAGAGGTCATGCTTGATGGATGAAATACCACTTTTTTTACAGACACTCATAACTGCTTTTTATATGCTGCAGGTACAAAGAAAAATATTGCGCATCCCTTGTATTTTTAGTCTGCGTCCATTCGCTACATTTGTGTGTAATGGACGCAAATTCATGCATCACGTAAAACCCTGCTGTGATGGGCCTACACAGTCACATCCTTAATCATGGTAATACTGACAGATAGAACATGTCTACCAAGACAGCAGCTACATTCCACCTCCTCATTCCAGCCTAGTTTGTGACACGTTGATACTCTGATAGTGGGTGTAACCCTGCGATATATTGTATACCACGGTGGGTGTAAGACTGCGTTCCACCTCCTTATTTCCCTCATTCCAGCCTAGTTTGTGCCACCTGCACACTCTGATAGTAGGTGTAACCCTGGGATATATTGTATACCACGGTGGGTGTAAGACTGCGTTCCACCTCCTTATTTCCCTCATTCCAGCCTAGTTTGTGCCACCTGCACACTCTGATAGTAGGTGTAACCCTGCGATATATTGTATACCACGGTGGGTGTAAGACTGCGTTCCACCTCCTTATTTCCCTCATTCCAGCCTAGTTTGTGCCACCTGCACACTCTGATAGTAGGTGTAACCCTGCGATATATTGTATACCACGGTGGGTGTAAGACTGCGTTCCACCTCCTTATTTCCCTCATTCCAGCCTAGTTTGTGCCACCTACACACTCTGATAGTAGGTGTAACCCTGCGATATATTGTATACCACGGTGGGTGTAAGACTGCGTTCCACCTCCTTATTTCCCTCATTCCAGCCTAGTTTGTGCCACCTGCACACTCTGATAGTAGGTGTAACCCTGCGATATATTGTATACCACGGTCGGTGTAAGAATGTGTCATAATTATTAATATATACCTAGGTGGGTGTTAATTACCCTGCGATATCACATGTACATATTCTGAACATCTTCCACAAATGACAGTCACAACGACTCCCACTGACAACACATTAAATGACAGTAGCAATTATTTGAATATTTCAAATCTGCAATAATCCAATAACAACTCCTTGGTCTTTACACAACAACAGACGGATATGCTGAGACAACTTGAATTTGTGAACATAATAGTTAATTGTGTCGGATGATTTGGTCACAACAGCTCATTGGTCTGGTCCCAAGTAACAAGTGAAATATTTTGAGTAACAGTGGTCCATTTTGACCAGACAAATGGGATGTTATGTCCAAAAAGACATATATCTTGGGGGAAGGGGGGTTGGGCGTTTTTTACCCTGCATTGTAATGTTTACCTTGGAGGGCCTCAATTACTCTGCATTACAGTGTATATAGCAAGGTTCATGCTAATTACCCTGCATCATTATGAATACCTTGGTGGGTGTTAACTACCCTGTTTTATACTGTTTGTTTGTTGTTTAACGCCGCAATGTTCCTGCTATATGACGGCGGTCTGTAAATAATCGAGTCTGGACCAGACAATCCAGTGATTGATGTCATGAGCATCAATCCATGCAATTCGGATACAATGACATGCATAAGTCAGTGAGCCTGACACCTGATCCTGTTCGTCGACGAGCATAGTCGCCTTTTCTGGCAGGCATGAGTTGCGAAGACCAATCTACCCCAGCTTTTCCTTGCATTATAATGTGTATACTCGGACCCCATGGTACCGCGCCATTCATCGTATCGCGGCATTTGTGATTTCCGGTAGCTCAGGCAGGACACGCCTCTTAGCAGCTGTCTATTAATGCTAATCAGTAACCAGGAAGTGCACACTTCATAAACAATTTCAATTTCCTCGGAATGTTCCGTCTGCTGTAAGTAAGGAGTTATTAATGCGTTGATACATATTTCTGGCATCTTTTGAAATATTGCCTTACCCCCATCTATCAATGGCCAACGATATAAACCGCAGTTCCCCAAGTAAACTTTCTCGATCGACCTGAACTAGATCATCTGCATATTCATGGCGACTAATAAGGTAACGGAAGTTACGTAGTCCACACATTTTTTTCCGCTCTGTGTCCAGAATCTATTGGGAGATCATAAGGGCCATAATGCCAAACTTAGAAATACGTTCTTCACTAGTAGCCAAAAGATAAATACATACTTTGGGCATACTAGGAGTGTTTTTTATATATTTATTGTTAATGTTTAACATTTTTCCATTATGTGACAAATTATTGTCATTCAATTTTTTTTTTATAAACCATCTTAGAATATCATTTCTGATATTTTGTTTTTGATTTTTAAAATATTTTTCTCTTACTTTTACAGTAAACATGCATTGAATACCTATTACAGATAACACATTTAGAATTTTACTTGTGCTGTCTTTGCACTTGTCTGGACAAATCACTGATATCTGGCATGATCATACTAAGCATGCTAAGTGGTTGGTAGAATTATGTCCTCTTTTTGTCCAATTCGGACCTCCATACACAACTTTTCTCTGTACCGCGATACGATGGAGTTCTCTCCCTTGTCAAACTGAGCGCGAGGCCCGGCTTTTACTCGGAGCTACTGATGTAAATAATGAACTTTTATCAGTAAAATATGCATTGTTTGATAAAATAAATGACATCTGATATAGAGAACACGAACAATCATAACGGTTAGTGAGTGCATTTTTTTCCGTTCAAGTACCGCGATACCCCGAGGTTGCAGGCTACCCTGTCCGGTGTTTATTACCTTGCCTAATTATGCATATCTATGTTGGAGTTAATTACCCTGTATTATAATGTATACCTTGGTGGGAGTTAAATTCCCCAGCAATATAATATGTATATAGGCCATATAATGCATATCTTTGACTAGTGAGATCGAACAGCTACAACCACTGACAACACATGGTATCCATCTATGCTTCGATATTCAATATGTCACACTTATTACATGACCAAAATGGGATCGGGTGGTCAGGCTTGATGACTCGGTTGATGCATGTCATCGATCCTAAATGCGTGGATTAGGGCTGGGACGAGTCCGAATTTGCTACCTGGGTACCCAACCCCCTAGCTTTTACCCGACCCTACCTGGGTACCCTCTGTAGGTCGGATTGGGCATTTTCTTACCATAGCACTGGCAAAACACATTTAGATACATGTATTAAACAATCTGGTCATGCATACACTGAATTTGACTCAAGTTATATCGATATCTTTATTCAAAGATATGAAAAGTCAGAATGAATGGGTGCATAGTCAGAAAGAAATGCGAACATTAGTGACTTGTAGTGAAACCATAGAGTTCTAGATAAGTTTTTTGCCATTAAACAATATAATCACGTGAATAACCATGGGTCCGGGTAGTCCTGTGGGTACCCGGGTCCTACTCAGTACCCACCCGACCCAATTACCCGTCCCAGCCCTAGCGTGGATCAATGCTCATGATATCAATCACTGGATTGTCTGGTCCAGACTCGATTATTTACAGACCGCTGTCACATAGCTGGAATATTGCTGAGTTAAACAACAAACCAACCAACCAACCAACATGAACCCCCAAAAAGAGAAGATTTTTGGAGCATCACACTTTCTGCCAAGTTGGATGGAGATGCCATCATTACAACAACCTGCAAACGGCTGATATCGCGATGTGCACACATTAATGCCACGTATTTTCATTCCTAGAATGATAACACTCAACATGCATTTTCTTTAACTCGGTCTTGGCAATCAGAACGTGTTCAACTACACTCATACTTACCACTGCACTCTGCAGCGACAATGCCCTGTCCTAAACTTATTGTCAGAAATTGGTGATGTCAGTTAGATCTGTGTCAGCGATTCAGTCACATGTATATCGTGGTTAGCAAAAACAAAGATGAGAGCATACCTCCACGCCACGCTCCCGTGTGGTGGATCTGGCCTGACCAGCGTTCAGCTTAATTAATCAAATTCTCGTGGACATTTTGTTGTGACTCACCTCAGCTCCGTACAGGGAGGGAGGTGAGCCGAAGTGTTGTGTGGAGCTTCTACCTCAACGCGTTCAACGTGTAGAACTTACATGATTTATGTTTTGGGGACAAACATATTTTGTCTATGACAACCAAACGTTGCTACCAAGTGCCCATTACATAGTATACTAGACGTATGGTGTCAATAAGGTTGACTTGTCAGTGGGTGGATATTTTTACTTACATGCACGTATCGGCAACGTGACAGTCCGAATTCCGAATCCCTAATCTATTATTTTTTTATATACCTTATTAAGTATAACAAAGTTTGCAATGAATACAGATAACTGTGTGGAATCAAGAAGGACCAGTTTGCACAATGTTAAAGGAGTGACCTAGAAAATGCAGCGGCGGTAGACTCTAAACGTTTCTGGGACATCATAAAGCGCGTGTCTGGACGACCGCAACGACCCAACCCTATTGATATACAAGACTGGGGGGATTATTTCTCGTCGCTGAATTCTGAACCAATGGGTATTCAGGATAATGGGTGGAGGACAAAGTGACATGTCAAGGTTATGTGCAAGAACTGACAATTGGCATATCAGAATCCCAAATCACCAGACCCGAACTTTTTATAAAGTATCAGCGCCAAGAAACATAATAAATCAGCTGGCCTTGACGACATCTGCGGAAGCCATTGTATAAACATGGTCTGAGTGCTAAAATGGGTAAAATGTTACAATCCATGTACAGTAATGTAAAGGCTTGTGTTCGTTCAAACAACAGAGTATCTGGTATATTTGTTGCTTCATGGGTGTGAGGCAAGGATGTATGCTTTGTCCCTTTTTGTTTCATTTTTTTTTTATAAACGATTTGGTTGCTGAAATGGAACAAAACTGTCGTTTCGGTGTTAAGTTCTTTCCGGAATTTATTTATATTTTTCTACTTCTATTTGCGGAAGACCTTATTGTGTTTGGCAATACTGTCAACAACGTACAAAACGTACAAACATGGCCCTGTTAATTAGTATACATTCCTTGAAACTACACTCGCCTCACTTTACTTCGTGCTATTGAGATGTTTCATCAGAAATGGCATTCAGATATTTACGAAAGTTCAAATGCTAAAATACTTATCGCCAGTTCAGGTCATTGCTTGAACCAGAATCTTATTTATCAAACTTACGGTACAGGAATTTTCGTAACATCATTATTCGTTTTAGACTTGGCCTGAATTATCTAAAAAATAACACAGGGAGATTTTCATCTATTGAGAAATCCCTAAGGTTATGCACATTCTGTGGCATTGTTGTCGAAGATGAATACCATTTTATGTTTATTTGCCCTTTATACGAAAATCTAAGAAACAAGTACTTACCGCAGTGGTCTTTATCTCATTTTAATGCTATAACATTGTCTTCATTACTGTCCTGCAAGGATCTTCTAACACAAAATAAACTGGCTTTGTGCATACATCATGCGTTTTTGTTACGAAGTGAATTGTTACCTTGACTTTGTATCTTATAAAATATGTTATGTAACTCCGTTGTATATGGGCCTGTGGCCTTTCATACAATAAAAAAATGAATTAAGATAACACCAATACTTTTACACGGGGCTAAAATGCGAGGGTTCAGTGACATAGAACAGAGCCGGCAGATGTTCTATTCAGTCGCTCGCTGTTTTGAAATGTGTCAAATATTGGCTGTCTCTTTATAATATGCAGGAATCTCGTTTAACCCCCAAAATGTTACAATATGTTGCGGTTGAACGACGAACAAGGCCACGTAAACTGGGTAACGAAACTTAAAACTGTTATTTTCAGATTAGGATTTGGTGATATCTGGTACTTTCAAATATGTGGTAATAAAACCGCATTTTTAAATATGTTACGTCAGTGGTTTAAAACTTTTTTTCAGGTTTGGCATAGTGATCTTTGCGAAAAACCCCAAATGGCTTATTATGCACATTAATACATCCATTTCATGTGAGCACTATTTGAGTAGTATAACTGTTAATAAATTCAGGACCACATTGACTCGTTTTCGGCTCAGTTCTGACAATTTAGAAATTGAACGTGGACGGCATTTCAATATTCCTCGTGAATTTTGAAAATGTAAAGTTTGTAACCTAAACCATATCGAAAATGAATATAACTTTTTGTTAATTTTTCTGTGTTTTGCACACTGAGGCAACGTTTTTACATCTTTCCAAATATTCTGAAGTTTAATACACTACTGTCATCGCAAGACCCTATTATCAATATGAATACAGTAAAGTACTTGTTTTACGCCAATGCTACAAGAACACAAATACTCAAACTTTGATAATATGAAATTATGTTAAAACTGCTTTTTCAACAAAAAAAAACCATGAAAAGAAATGTGTTGTATTTTATACTGTTTGCATCTAAATTGTATTTCGTTTGTACAAAAAGGCCGGAAAATGAAGCCTAATTATTCGTAATAGAATATATTCTTCCTTTAACTGTGCGCGTTTTCTCAGGAGCAACAAAAAAGTAGAGCCATCACTTGTGTAAGTGCACTGCATCTTTAGTGTTCATACAATCTCTCAACAACGGGGGCGGTCGGGTAGCCTAGTGGTTAAAGCGTTCGCTCGCCATGCCGTTATTTACAGGTTTTCTTTATGGGTCATAACTAACGATTTTGTTAAATCGTGGTACAAAGGTGTATCTAGGGACACTATACAATATGACTTTATTGACGTTACCACCTTGCTTCCACGGAAAGGGCATCTGCAGAGCTGATTACTCGATATTCAGAGATTTCGTTCAAATTTGGTATTTAGGTACAATGTATTTCAGAACTCAACCGAATAGGTTTTCTTACCATCATGGTAATATAACCGAGGCATCTGATTGGTCGAAATTTAGTTGTTCGATTTCTTTAAAAGGGATATTTAGATATATTTTTGCACACAAAGGAAATTTTATTACAATACCAACGGAATGGAGTCCTCTGGTTGGTCGAAATTTAGACAGTTAACTCTATTTAAGACAAGTTTACTGTACTAATAAGTCCTCTTTATGAAACTAGGTGTGGATGATCAGCACAACATACAGTAATATAACCTCATTCAAAAATCCAAGATGGTCTTACAGTCGCCATTTTGTAATTTACAGGTCTCAAACATCTAAATGAGCAAATATCAATTTATGAATCCTTTTGAAAACCCTCGCGATTATCATTTCATTAGATTATTAGTTCATTGTACCCCCGCAACGAAGTTAGGGGGTATAATGGAATCAGTGTGTCAGCCCGTCTGTCGGTCTGTCCGCAGAAAATAACTTAGCGAACAATTCCTTCCAAACTAATTGACTGATTTCCATTAAACTTTGTACAGGTGGCCACTTCAACATGTTGCAATTGTTTGTCTTTTTCATTTGGGCGGAGTTATTGCCTTTTATTACTTCGTCATTTCAATTTGTCTGGACAACTTCTAAACTACTACATCGATTTCTTTCAGATATGTACGTAGGTGTAGCTACGGACAATGTACGACGTGCCTTCATTAATTCCCCATAGGACAGTTCTAGTTAGCTGAATTTTTATCCATACATTCAAGATGTCCGAAAGGCTTATGTGACGTATTGCCATCCGTCTTTGTACGGCGTGAGTCATCCGTCATGCGAAATCTGTTCACACTCCAATACGATTTATTCATAAAATATTAAAAGATAGTATTTACAGCTCACCTGGTGCGAAGTTCCGTGGTGAGCTTATGTCAGCTCCCCCAGAAGATCGAGTGGTCGGTTCCTAACTGACATCAAATACTTTACAGGCCGTATGCCTGATGTTCTTTTTCGCTATTTTCAATCAACAATGGTCTTACCACAGGATATGCGAAACTGCTATAGAAAAAGTATAGACTTCATATCCGAAAAATATAAACTTTAAGTGGCTATATTTGACTCGGCACGGTACTTGGGAAACCTGCGGGATTTTTTAACCAAATATCATTGCATTGGAATTCCTGTTGTTTGTAATAGCATATGATTCTGGTGTATGCTCAACTGTCATATCCGTCATACTGCAACAAAATGTCCATTATGTTATGCCTAAAACTCTGTTAATGGACCATTCTAACACCCCCCCCCCCCCCCCCCCCCCCCCCCCCACACCATCTACAACTTGGTCTGATCTGCTTGGGCTGAGTCCTCTTTTCCGTCGTTACGGTATTAGGATAGTAACGAGGTTACCTTGCAGAGTGTCGAAAAATAACCTTTGTGAAACAGTAAGTTTGAAAAAAAATCAGTTAAAAGGGTTACCGGTGATTGCGTAGATGTGGAGTCGGGGTCGGGTGACACATTAGGTGATGTGGGTCTTCTCTTGTTTCCACTTGATTTTCATCGTTTCCATACCGCGAAACTTGCTCGTGTTGGTTCATAAGCGTATGGTTTTTCGATTTCTTGATGGGTCCTTAAGGGAACTTCTTCGAATCAGGCTGCCATGTTGTCTCACCATAAACTGGTACTTGATATCTTTTGCGTTGTGACAAGACAGGGACTCAGTTAAATTGGCACCAATTACGTCATAATCTAAGGGGGATAACTCAGGCCTGTTTAGCTCGGAAAACGAAGGCCTCATAACGGCATGACATTTTCACACTTATTGCGAGCTCGCTACATTGACTGTGAGGAAAATGAGTGTATATTTTCAAACACTGACACTAACTAATTCTAACATTCCGTTTTGTTTAAAATAAGAAAGAAAATGATTTTTGCGTGTACACTTCCCCTTTAAGGGTTGTAACAATGCATGTCATCGATTCCAGTGGCGTGGATCGATGCTCATGATGTCAATCACATTATTGTCTGGTCCAGACTCGATTATTTACAGACCGCCGTCATATAGCTGGAATATTGCTGAGTGTGGCGTTAAACAACAAACAAACAAACGTTTTGCGCGAGCCGAAAAGCCTATTTT